ATTTTGTGGAAAACCGATTTTGCGTACAAATTCTCGTTTTTCCTTAATTTTTATGTTGTTTTTCCCGGCGCTTTTGTAAACTGTTGGGAATTTTAAAATTTGACCTCCCGAATGCACAAACAAGATTCACTTTCCCATCGAACAAGATACTTTTGAAGAAAATCGAAGCAGTTTCACTGTCCCAAACCGTGATGACAGACACAAAAAAAAAAATGAAAAACATAGTAAATCAATACATTCATCGTTCCATTCAGAATCTAAAATTGGAAACTGAAAATGTCATATATCTACGGTTAAGTATTTGTTGTAGAGTTACACCTAAAACCAAAATCGATTTTGTCAAAAAATTGTTTTTCCGTGTGTTTTGATAACTATTGGGAATTTTATATTTAATCGCCCGAATGCACTAACTAGATTCAATTTCTCATCGAACAAGATGACAAAAAAAAAAAAAACCAATCGTTGTAAAATCAATACATTCATGACTCCTCTCAGAATCTAAAATTGTCAACGTCTGTAGCTATCTGGAGTAGTCACTGAAGTCTGTAATGTCAGCCTATATTACTAAGTATGTGTATATTTTATATTTTTATGATATTATTGCTATTAAATACTTATTATGAGTTATGAGTCAATAGTGGGTACTTATTATGGTAGATTGAATACATTTTTTTCCAAAAAAATAGTATTTTAAAATGTAATTGTGTGTATAAAATATAATTATACCTAATATAATTGATTTCTCCCTCAAGACATTCAAGCCATTACACTTAATTTAATTTAAAAAACATACATTATGATTATTGTACTTTCTTTTTTTTAGTATAGACTAGATTGTATAAGTTCTAAATTAAAAATTAAAAAAAAAATAATATTATAATATACTTCAAGAGTTTCAAGTACACACGAATAATATTTCTAAATTAGGTAGGTACCTACAAAAACCCTTCGTTTGGATTGTATTTTATTAATTTTAGTTTTTTTTTTTTATAAATGTCAATAAAAAATTATTTGTTGGGTCAAAATCTTAAAAATTATTACGTTCAATTGACCACCACAATTAGTTGTAGACAAAATTTATAAAATGTAGTAAGGCAGGAAATTTAATTCAGGACTGTCGTGTCTTTGATACATGACACCCTTGTTTTACACTGGTTAGCCAGTTTTGTATATTTTGTACTTTCATAAATTACGTCTAATAATAAGGTTAAATATGCAATGGTGGGGGGCTTCAGCAGGGCCGTCGTCATACGATTTTGACGTGGGGGGGGGGTGAGATAAAGTATTTGCCGACTGTACAAATGTCGACCGGTAATTTCTTAAAACGAACTATGTGAAGTACCTATGAAAATTCCTGGTTTTTCTGTATAATTATTTAAATTGGGCCAAAATAATTAAAATTTGATAAATATTATATTGAAAAACATTATGAAAAAAAATTTTAAAAAATTGAACTAAAACTTTTTGAACAGTTCTATGCATATAGGTAGTCTGTTATACTACTAATAATTAGTAACAATTATAGTTTCTATTGTATATCATACAGCCGCTAGCTGTACAGATACATGATTGTCTGGTTATTTAAACTTTAAAAATAGTGTATCTATTATTAAATCAATATATGATAAGGGTTATAGGAACCAAAATCTAAAATAAAACTCCGGCATCTGCATGTTACACATATGGAAGAACTTAGGTAAACCACCGCAGTGTAAAAATTGGTCAGGAACATATTAATATGGGCTTACCAGTGGTTGTTTTTAAGTTACCCATTTGGGCTGGTCGAAACTTTTACCCCCTTCTATTAAAAACTGAAATGACACCACTGACTGTAATAATAACAATATAGGCCTACCACCCACAGCCCACCGATAGGTGCTTGAGATCGCGATTAGCGATAGCATACCGATGCACGACGGTACTAAAAAAGTTATTATAGGTATAACAATCGGCAGTATTTTGATTTCTAAATCAGAAACTCTTAAATTGTAATGAGTGTATAGTCGAAGTCAGTATGAGAATAAGGAAAACAAGGAGTTCTACTTCCCCTTATTTGTATACTAACACTATTGTGGAGTCAATAGTCATTGATTAAATCATAAATATCCACTTATATTTTAAATGTTTTATAACATATAGGTAGTAAATTATTAATAGTGTCAAAATCTTAAAAACTTAAATGATAACAGTTCATGTATATTGTATACTATGCAATTCAACAGAGGCGGTTATAGGTTGGCGTGGGTGGCTATTAGGGGACACAACCCCCTCTAAATCCGGCATTTTTAAAGAATTGTATATTGTTAAAAAGAAATATACTAAAATAAACATTAATATATTATAGAAAGTTTTCTGAAAATTTAAATTAAATCTTTATAAATTCATAAGCCGGTATTAACATCATATAAAATGTGTCACTGCATACGTGCGAGGTAACAAGAAGGTAGTGAAGTTAAGTGTCTGAAATGTATATTTTAAACTTTTCATTAAAAGAAGAAAGCAAGTTAGGTACTAAGTTAGCTATCTAAACATCAAATACTGAAATACGGTATAAGCGTACGGTATAGTGATTCTGTGAATCCATGTAGTAATAAGTGCAATAATCATTATTAATAATATTATAATTTATTATTAGGTAACTGTATGTTTTTTAGTTATAGTTTACACTATTCGCTTGGTATATTAATATAATAATAATAGTTAATAGCTATTAATTATTACAATCTAAATAAATAATAATTTTAAAAAAAATTCGATGAGTGGGGCACGTCATGTCCAAAAACGGAACTATCTATAAAGACTAAAATAGATATATTAGTACAGATTAGATGGCTGGTACCACTTATTATATATATATATTAATGAAGTCAATAGGAACATAAGAATAAAAAAAGTATGAAGTTATTTATGGTAGGTAGGTACCTAAATTGGTATATTAAAATATGAATATTAGCTACATTTATTGTTATAACTGTAACCTATAGTCTATACAATGGTAGGAACTAGGAAAAGAAGTCTCGGGAAAAAAAGTCCCGAAAAAAAAGTATCCGGAAAAAAGTCTTGGGGCGAAAAAGTCTGTATTCTAAAGATAATATCTAATAATTACGTTATCATATAGTAGGTAACTAAATACAAAACTGATAAAACAAATATAATAGCTAATAATTAAACAATTATAAAAAAAAAAAAAAATATCTCATTGAATCTTAGGTAATCAACAATATTACTAAAAAATTATACATTTATAAATCACAAAGTTAGATGTCGGAATAGAAAAAAAAATATTACATAATTATAAAAATATTATGAACTTTTAGATTCTGAGTGAAACGATGAATGTATTGATTTTACAACGATGTGTGTTTTTTTTTTTAATTTTAATTTTTTTTGTGTCTGTCATCACCTTTTAGGACATTAAAAGTGCTTGGATTTTCTTCAACAGTATCTTTTCTTATAGGAAAGTGAATCTAGTTGAGGGGGCAACAGTAAAAATTTCCCAGTATTTTACAAAAGTGACATGAAAAACAAAAGAAAAATTAAGGAAAAACGGGAATTTTTACGCAAAATCTGTTTTCGATAAAATCGATTTTGGTTTTTGGTGTAAAACTCTTTAATGACTCTAAAACAACCGTAGATACATGCAATTTTTACTGACTGTTGATATTAGCATTTTCTATACATCATGCATTTTTAAAAATATTTGGAGTTATTTTGAGCTGTTTAGGGACATTTTAATTTTTTAATTTTTTTAGTTTTTTTTCTATAAATATCAATTAAGTTTTCTCTGTGGGGCCAAAAAGTGTAAACATTTAATACAATGCTACTGATATATTGTTACAATATCAGTTGAAAAATATTAAAAGTACATAGGCAACATTTTTTTTTATTAGCATTTAAAGATCGAATTTTGGTACAATTTATCAAATTTAAAATTGAATAATTATTTTGTAGTTAAAAATGTATAAAATGTTCAACTTTTATATCTAAGGTATGAAAATTTAAAACAAGACTCCACGTAAGTAGTTAATTCTGTTACCAAAAAATCTAAAAAATAAATAAGCACAGTTTATTCTTATAGTAATTTTAAGTTCAAATTTCGACGAAATTACATACCTAATAAAAACCCTAGATTAACTTACTATTTTCGTTATTTTGTTGTGATTGTGTAATATTATTCGTGGGTACTTGAAACTTTTAAAGTACACTATTATATATTATTTATGATAGTATCAGGGTTTGTTGATGTATGACGCGTTATGAGTACCTAATGGATATTGTGATATGATTAATTTGGAATTTATTATAGGTACCTATTATAGGTCAGTTTTTTTTTTAATACCATAGATAAGTATATAATATGTCTTATACCTAGACTGACATACAGTCTCTGCTCAGAATCGTTTTTCTTATACAATGATATTATATCATTGAATTCAACTTTAATACCATCCATTTTACAGTGACCCACTTGTAACCTACTGTACAGCAGAGCACCTTTTTTCTTAGAGACTTTCCGGGACTTTTTTTCCGTTCCCCAACCGGATCCAGTTCAGATGCGTACGTCTCTTTTGCGTACAGCCTATTATTAGTTACAAATTTTCTCACCTGCATACAAAGTAATTACCCAGAATAACATCAATTGTCATTTGCGTAGACACTCATTTCCCTTCACACTTGGTCAGGCTTAGGACTGGCAGAATATTATGCAATACTCTGGCGTGTTTAAAAATGAGGGCTCATGAATAAATACGTTCAGTGTGTACTGTGTAGCTAACTCTAAATGTAAAATATCATTGTAATAAGTATAGTTAAATATAATATTATAGGTAATATAAAATAATGATATAATCTAATTTAATCTAATTTGACGATTATGGCCAATTTTTTGAGGCAATTGTCTAAGTCGTTATTTTCTAAAAAGTTTTGAGTAATACCTAGGTACGTTTGATTGATACGTCCAATTTTATAAATATTTTTTTTTCGTTTGGTCCCTTCCAAATTTAATTCAGTGCGACTAAAAGTCGATGGTCACTTTCTGCTGCTGTTATCTTCAGTTTTTCAATTAAAACCCAGGTACTCGGGTGCGATCTTCCCACCAGTGTTTTAAATTTATGGTTCCATCCTTCGACGATGTTGTTTGTTCGGTGCTTTTCATTGTGACAATTCCACATCTCCTTAGAAATAGTGACGGAGTCGAGCCAGTTTTCAACAAAATAGTCGTTAAATTCAGCTAGCTTCACTTCATCAGGTGCAGTACTTCTAATAATAAGCCAAGCGTCGTCATTTTTTTCAAGAGGAAGGTAAGCCATGCATTCGAATATCTTCATTTTGTTTATATATATGGATGCTAAGCCAATATCCTGAATTTTTCGCCACAAACATTGCGTGATGAAGTGGAAATGGCATCCACGTAATTTTATTTCAATAAAAAATAGTAAAATGAAAAGTAGAATATTATTAATTAACCTATATTATGTTTATGGTATTAATTACCACGAAATGTAAATAAATAGAAATAAATAATAATGGGCGTAAAAATTGCATATGTCATAGACTTATAGGTAACAAGTATAATATTATTAGGTACCTATTATAGTCTATATCGTATTTGTATATTTTAAAAATTTGAATATCAAATATCAATGCAAGATTGAGCCGGTGGGCTACTGGGCAAAACCCGGTGGGCCATTAAAAATGCCAAAGATTTGGGCCGGTTCGATGAAATGTTGATTCAGAGATTTTGGCCGGTCTGGAGGGACAGCCCAGTAAGCAATAATCCGATGCTGTATCAATGTGTATAGTATTATATCAGCTATTATGTAGTACAATTATACGAATTAGTTAATATCAAAAATCAAAATATTTAAATATCCAAAGAAAATGCAACAACCGATTTTTTTGTTTTTAAACGATAAATCACGTCGATTAATGCAGAACATAAATGTTTAATTCGTGTTATTTTTCGAAACTTGCAGTCATTTCAATATGGCGATATGGCCGCGTCGTGGATCAGTGTGGCCACGTATACGTTGAACTCTGATATTGTGTCGTAATGAATAAAATGTTAAACAATTAATTTTGGCAAAATAAAGATTAACAAATATATTCGTATAGTAATTAGTAAAGACAGAAGAGTTAACAAGAAATGTTTTTTTATAACAATTGTATACAATGAACAACTTTGAAATACAATAAAACGATAAAATACGATTCATTGATGTGTCATTAATCGTACGACTACCGTGGTTAGTGTTGTACAATATACATGCCTGGTAACTGTGGTTACCTAACCCCCAAACACGAATGCAAGCCTATCCGCGTCCGCACTCTCTTCACACATCTCTCTTTCCTATGGCACCGAACTGAACACGTGAACTCCTCCGGTTTTCTCGTTTATTTTCTTGCTATTTACAGGTACAACAGATTTGATTCCAACCCTTCGCAATGACTGAGACAATGCAACTCCGTGGCACCCTTCGTGGGCACAACGGTTGGGTCACGCAGATCGCCACCAATCCGATCCACACTGACATGATTTTGTCTTGTTCACGAGGTAAGTGATGGATCTGCCTAACGCCCACCCTTACGCGTCCAAAGGCTCTTTCAGACAGAAAGCGTTATTTTCACGTTGAGTGATTCGTAATCAGTTCCAATGCGGCGTGATTTCACTCGCGCGAAAGCCCTACGCCGACGAGCCATTTACCCCTTTAACGCGTTCTGTTTGACAGAGCCTTTACTGTTCGTCGCTATCGCACAGTGACTGGCCTACCGCACAGTTTTCTCGCCAAGAATTTTGGATCTATTCCCCCAGTTACTAAGACTGCTATGTGAAAACACAACCGGAGCCGGTTATTTTGTTTATTGTCCGGTTTCTAATCCACGACGTTTTTTTTCCACAGACAAGACCCTGATCGTTTGGGACCTGACACGTGACGAACTCAACTACGGCATCCCCAAGAAACGTTTGTACGGACATTCGCACTTCGTCAGCGACGTCGTTCTTTCGTCAGATGGTAACTACGCGCTTTCCGGTTCTTGGGACAAGACTCTCCGTCTGTGGGATTTGGCTGCTGGACGTACCACTCGTCGTTTTGAAGACCACACCAAGGTTCAATATGTCTCAAGCTTTTTTTTTACTTTTTTTTTTTTATTATATATAGAAGCTTTACTGCTTGGTAAGTACTTACACATGTCGGTATATGCTTCGCGGATTGTTCGTTAGGGTCACATTAATTTTTACTTCCATTAAACATTTTTTATTTTTCTGTATAGGATGTACTGAGCGTTGCCTTCTCTGCTGACAACCGTCAAATCGTTTCTGGAAGTCGGGACAAGACTATCAAGTTGTGGAATACTTTGGCTGAGTGCAAATACACTATTCAGGTAAGAGATAAGCTAAAGTGTATTAATTAACTAACTAGTCTACTCGTATCTTAAAAGAGAATAATCAGTCTGCATGACAAATTTTTGTCAGTGTTGCACATTTCCCACACAATTTAACAAATCATTCAGTGCCCAACAAATCATGATAAAGTGTCTACCAAAATAATTTTAAAGATCATGGCTCTAAGGTCAAATATCGCGGTTGTTAATAACCTCAGAAATCCTGCTTTTATATCTGCATACATCATGTTACACACATTAGTGGTGAATATTCCAGCTGTTCTGATTATTTAATTTGGATGCCAGTTTAAAACTATCTTATCACAGGTGGTCTGACAACCATACTATTGGCGATTGAAAGCTTATTAATGTAACTGGGACAATGTGTATCATTTGTATGTTATTTTACCAGTTCCCCGTTACAGATCCCCCGCCGGCCTGAAAGTTGATAAGCTTTCAATCTTAAGGCTGTTGGAGCATAGCATATTTTAAGGAGTAATATTTAGGCAGAATATATACATGTATATTTGAACGGTGTCATTGTGTGAGTAGTGAATGAACATTAGTGTGTGTAATGCTTTATCTGGTCAATTATCAGGCTGTCGTACCACCGCGCACCGCCTACCTATCAGCTGTAATACGCGGGTATTCTCAGAACTTATTTATTACGATGATAATAACCAAAATAAACTATGTTTATTATTTATACATATTTTATCTCCGTGTTTTCAAAAGGTCATAATGATGTTTCAATATAATACTAATTGCATATTAAAAAATTAAAACAAAACAGAAAAAAAATTTTAGATTTAAAAAAAAAATTTAAACTATAGATCTATGTCAATTTGGTAAGCGCAAAGCGCAAGCGTTATTTTTTATTATAATACTCACTATTCTCGGCTCTTTCAAGTCGCAAAAATTCACAGTACTAAATAATTCAATCACTTTATTGTTTCATAATCATTATTATATTACATTATATTTTTATACAAATAATTTAAAAAGTAATATTACAAACCATCTCTGATAGGCAACCCACGGTCATATCTCGAATCAATTAATTCTAAAATCATGCTATTTATATAGAATGATGACAATTGGGGTTTCATAGAATTGACCCAAAAATTATCATCTCTGAATATTTTTTCGTATAAAATACCTATTATTTGAACAAAAAATTATTAAGTAATTTAATGAATAAAAAATGTTTGTAGAAACTAGAAATGTTATTTACCTTTTGGAGTCAAAATACAAAAATAACAATAATCTCTTCGTGAAATATGTAATGCCCCTTGAATTTGATAGTAATAATTGTCATTTTTTTTTAAATGTAGTGTATTATTATTTTTCAATACACAACATTTAATTATTTTGTTTTCTATTGCTTCTTCTGGAAATACACTTTTGGCACTAGATGGACATTTTATTTCCACTAATCCATCATCTCCGATAAGTCCATCTGGAGAGGCAGCCAAGTAGAATTGTTCACTATCTACATATAATCCCGATGGCTCAATATTGACGCCCAAAATATTTGCTAATTGTTCTTTTGCCACTTCTTCGTGTTCAACTCCATATTTTGTTGCTAAATTTCCTTGAAACGTTCCGTATAATAACGCTTCTATAGTTTTGGCTCGTGATGTTGTTTTTCTTAACTTACAGATTTTACCAAAAACGGATGCTGTTAATCTAACAAAACATAAATAGCTCATAAAACAACTTTAAATTATTATGTATAACTAATTAATTTGGACGTAATAATGCATAATACCTATAATTATAATCAAATATGTCAAACCTTTTTTTACGTTCTCTATGCCAATCTTCACACTCATGTTGCCTCTTGGTACTCTTCTCTAAGGCAATAATTTCTTCTTTTGTAAGCTTCAGAGTATTTAGATATAGTATTTTTTTATCATTTAATTCTGATAATGATAAATCTGGATATGAATCAAGGTCAGGTTCAACTGCACCATAATTCTCATCGGGACCAACTAGTATTTTTGTTTTTAACCGTTGAGCTGCTGGGGCAAATAACTTGCATCTCCGTCTAGAATCTGATAGTTGCATACTTTTTTTTATGTACCTGTTTAGGAAATATACATAATACTTATGTTAAATTATTTATATTCGTATAACTATAATTTAAAAAAATTTTCATTCACCTTTTTGTGAATAAACCAGGACTTTTTTGAGCAACTTGTTTGTGAAATAACGATAAACGATTAGCTCCTACGTTATAAGCAGTAACTGCGGCATTACATCGTAATTCGTATGAACCCCGGAGATACAAATTCACTCTTTTACCTCCAACAAATTTGGCCAAAATAGAATTATAATTTTCTGCTGCATTATTATTTAAATTAAACATAAGGCTTTCTGTATGATATGTTAAAGCACTTCTTATTGAACCTATATCATCCCATAGGCCCACTCGTTTCATATCTGGAACGTAATTTTCTTCGCCTAGAAAAAAAAGTAATAACTCTAAGTATAATATACAATATGTATATGTACATACAGTATGTACTTTATAATAAGTATCCATATAGTATAGATATAATATATTAAATATTCATACCAATGTGTACCACAGTTTAATTTTTCTAAAACACCTAATACATTCATTGGGTACATTTTTATTTAAGATAATATTTTATTTTCAATAATGAATGTTCTATATTATTATATTATAATTATTACTATACCTACCTAAATCTTTCCTTGTGCAAAAATAATCACTGCAATTCTCATGATCACCGAATACATGGTTGGGGCTATTGACAATATCTTTCTTCAGCATTTTAACCGAATCCTCATACGAAATATAATTTTGTTGTTTTCTGTATTTTACCGCCTTTATAACAGCAGCACGAAGTCGTTCGACTCGACTAACTAATAAGTTGCGCATACAACCTGGTACACTTTCGCCTTTACTGCTTTT